TCTTGGGGATATGACTGCTCTCCAAGGATTTTTTGGCACAGAGTTTCGGACTACTTTGTGGATATATCTTCTTGTGAAGTGTAGTCCTCAACATCTGAAACTCAAGATCAAAAGAATTGTAGTAATTAATATTAAAAAGGCTATTAATTAATTAGCTAAATAATTAGTGAACTGTTGTGTGTACTCACGATTAATGTCGCATGAATTACCTTCTCCATGATTGGATCCCTTAATAAACTTGGGGCAGGTGAAAATCCACTTCTACATACAAACATCTTCTTTAGAAGAAATGATAATGATTTTTTGCCAATGGCACCTTTAGAATTATCCAAACAGATATCTTTCCCTATACCATGAACTAAACTGGTGCTACACTGGAGATTATTGACGTTTTTGTTGTTTGAATCATCAGAGAATGCACTGCAATTCCTTTCTTCAGTTTCCGTGCTCAAGTCCAGATTAGCTGATGTTGGTCCAAAATGTTCGTGAAATATTAAGTTTTAACTCTTTTTGAAGTTTTCCTACTTCTTCAGGTGTCAGACCATGTAGATGATCTTGTAAGGAGACAAAATTTTCTTTAAGATTTGCCTTCTGATCTGCTTCTTGTTTTATCTTATTTCCAAAAGTTCCAATTGCTAGCAGTCCCTGTGGCCAGTCGCTAAACTCTTCTTTGCAAGGCTGTTGGTCATGATCTAGTAGAGGAATGAAAATGACAACTTCATAAGAAAACTAACAAATGATTGGACCAGAGAATATCTTCTTGTTATAAATAAAACATGTCTGGAGGAGGGAGAAAGAGCTTAAAATAATTTTATGGAAAACCTTGAAAGTAAGAGTCAAGAAAAGATCGAAGAACACTTACGATTAGCAGGAATGGAGTTGGATTTCCTTCCAGTGAGCTTGTTTTGCACCCAGCTGAATATCTGGAACCAAACAAGACATAAAATACACCTTAAAAATGTACAAATTAAAACTAATAAAAAAAATGACTGGTCAATAGTTGCATGGTTTATTGATAAAATATTATTATACTTTTAGTTTTGGTAATTAAATTCAAAATTTGATAATTTCAAATAAAAAAATTGATTCTCTAAATTGCCTTTACTATCTAGCTTTTAATCTTAGTTCTCACCTTCATTAGGTGAAATAATTTAGACTGCAGCTTTGGAAAACAGCACAAAACAGATATGGTTTGCAATCAATGATATTAAATTTGGGGTTAGAGAAATGTAAGTGATACAAAGAAATCGTATAAGCCAGTGAAAGCTTAGCTGTATTAGGAGTTAAATAGAGTGCAGTTTGAGAAATTTCATATATTATATCAAGCTGGTGTGGTTGCTATACTGCCTACTTGCTACATGGCTCAAGTTCCCAAACACTGACTTTGCCTCCTCTTTTGCCTCTCTCACATCTCTCTGTCACCTTATTTTCCAACTACCACGTCCTTTTCCCCACTAATTTAGTTCACTTTTGTTCCTTTCTAATCAACACGAAACAAAAAATGGCTCATTTTGTCTCCCTCTCCCCATATAAATCACCATGTATATTACCCAAACTCACAAAGCCTTTAAATCTCGAGCATCTCTAGACTTTCCTTACTGCCCCTTGAAATCAATTAATAACATAAGTCTTATGACATTATTCCTCCTGGAAGGATGTTCTATCTCTAAGCTCCTATTCATAGCAGTTTCTTTATTTCAGAGATCAATGGGGAAAATCTAGAGATGTTTTGGGAAATTTACAAGATCCCACGTGAAGTTGTCCCTGTTGATCATCTGGGTTCATGGCCAATTGAACCTTTTTACCTTTTTAGGATATGGGTTCTATGCCATACTTAGAAAGCTTCGTGAGACTTACCCAAAATGGTAAGTGACCCACATTACCTAAATTGATAATTTAACTCGTAGCATGTGAACATGTGATTGAGAATAGAGACAAATATAAACAAGTACAAGTACCCAAATTCGAGAGGGTAGCAAGTAGCCAAATTGTGGTCCTTTGATTTCTTTTCTTATTTGCTTTGATTTTGTCGAAACTTAATTTTGGTCAAGAAAATTGTGTCCTATAGCCTGCTAGGCCTAGGAATTAAACACACTTCTCCATGATACTAGGGCAAACACAAACCTTGGTCTATGGTTCAGTCAGATCAAAACTCAGGTTTTACATGGGATCCAACAAGCTAAATGATAATGAGATATCGTGCATGGCAGCATGAGATAATATACTCACGTATAAAGATGAAACAACTACTTAATGTTATTTTTCAGATTCATAAAACGTTTGTGAAGAATCAGAGTTGGGAGTTAAGGAACATGTTGAACAGCATCTTTTGATTAATGAAAGCCATCCTGAGCTCCATGTCTAATGATTAATACTTAATGTTAGTGATGGAAATTGCAAGTGAAGCAATCCAAATCTGTTTCATCTTTCAAATTAGTGATTTTACTAGCGTTTGGTTTGTGATTGTGCATGATATTTACACCATCTAGGTGCAGTACTGCATTGTCGTTAGTGTTGGGGGGAAGTGAATGAAATTGTTTTGCGGCCGAATTGCAGCACTATATAGTATTGAATGAAAATTAAACTACTTTTGCAATGGTCAATATCTCCTTGGCCAACAGAGGAAAATCACCTTCATTCTTCCATTTTCAATTTCACATCCCATGATACAGCAACAAGCCAATTCAAGTGAGAATGAATTGTAAATAATATACCAATTATCATTTCATAGAATATATATACAACAACTAATTCAAACTGTCTGAATGTGTTTATCGCCCATCTTGTCCAGGACAGCATAGTTGTAAGCAACAATCAACGCAGCCAAAACATGCCAGGGCAGTGCATAGCTGTGTTAATGTAATGGCACATTGATCATTCATCTTTGAACAACACTGGATACCGCAAATGCAACAGCATTGGTTAAACATCTGACCACAGCAATCTGAAGTTGCCTTCATAAAAATTTCGGTAACTTCAGGCAATTTTGGTTCTGCAGATCCAGGACGGATGTTTTCCGCAGTTGCAATCAGGTCACCAAAGCCAACTGAAAGGCTTTGAAGCAATATCATTTTGGGCGCTTCAATATCCACTATTTTCTGTGGATCGCCTGAAAAAATTATGCTAAAACATTAACCAGAAATGAGAAGGCGTTCTCATCAGTGTTTCAAGTGAAAAGATCCAAGTGCACTCCCAGCTAGCATATGTGATATAACAATAAATTAAAAAGAAAAAAGAAAAGATGAAACCCCAGCATGACTTAATAGGACCCAGTTACTGATGTAGACAATGTAGTGGTAACCTGGTGTCCTAACTGAGGCAAAAGTATACCTTCCAAGCTCCAGAAGATTCAGTGGCTTTGTCTATTTTATTTTTCTCAAGTAGGACCATACAGGTATACTCAGAGATATTGCAAGTCTGTATGCTTAATTTTGAAACAATAGCATTTCTACTAAGAAATGTGACGAGATGAGGACAAGTGAAAAATCCAACACATTCCACATCATGCGGTGCAGGTAAAATGGCCACTGAGCAATTTGTAAATGATAGGTCCATCGTAACAGTCGTGGATGCAGGATTGTTTTCTGGAGGTATTCATTTATTGCATTTGATGTCTACTGAGTGTAAAATGCTGATTGGCTATGAAGAACGGCTGGATATTGGATAGCGACAATGACTGAAGTATCAGAGAATTAAGAAAAAATATGTTCAAGGAAAAATTCGGGAAGTATCCAGGAGAAAATTTGGAGATATCCAGAGAAAATTTTTTACTTAAATTTTTTATTTTTTATTTTTTGAAGGTGTCCCTGGACACCGTAACATACCATTTGCATCTGCCACTGCATCGTAACTGTTCACATCACCAGGAAAAGATGGCATAGCCATGATTCTCATTTCATGAATAAGAGGAGAACCCAAGGAACAGTGGACCTGGAAATGTATACACAAATTAAAGCATGGCCAAAGCCCATTCCCCATTCTGCTATAGCTGGGCTATAGCTTTATTGTTGGTAGTATTCAAATCAAAGTAGTTATTTGATCCAACATTGTTGTCCCACCAATTTTGGGGAAAAAATGTCAGAGTACTTTGAAACAAAACCTTCTCCTCAAGCTGATGTAACTGATGCTGCGGTTGAGGTTAAGTTATCATGAATTGGTGTGTTTAATATAGATTTATATCATTTGAAGTGCGTTTAACACCAGTTAATCACTGAAAGTTTTAGATTCAGTATCTCACTGTCTCTTTTTTTTTTTTTTTTTACATTTTAACCTTTTTTGTTTTTGCTTTTACTATTTATTATTTGATATTTATTTATTTTTTAATTTTGATTTTTATCTCTTTTTTAATTTTTAATTTTTTCTATTTTTTATTTTGATTTTTATCTATTTTTTATTTTCTATTTTGAATTTTTACCTTCTTTTTATCTTTTATTTTTATTTAAAAATTATGAAATAATTTTGTTAATTTCATAATTTTTTTTGTAACTATTAAATAATTTAAAATTTTATTATATATAATTTTAATCTAATATCTTTAAAAAAAATTTTATTATAATTTATTTTACCATCATTACAGTTTTTACATCCAAACATATATTTTACTATTCATTTTAATATTATTATTATTATAATAACTAATTTTACTTCTATTAATATTTTTAATTTTACCAAAATAAATTTTGCCGTCCATCTATCCGATTCTAAACTGATATTAATTTGCCCATGTTGCAATATTTTCAAGGGGGCGGATTGTCGATTTCACCTTTTATTTCTGAAGTCTGTGATCCATATCTTAAAGATAATAGCAACGAAGGGATTTCATCTTTTATGGGATCCAATGGTCAATTGGTCCAAACTCCAAACTCACATTTTTATTTTTATAAAATACATTGTTACTCATTCAATTATAAATCATATTTTGAAAATATCATTTAATTATTAATTTTTTATTTAATCTTTTAAATTGAAGTAAATAATTTTGTTCACTTATTTCTAATCTTTTAACCTTGTACTAACGTAACAATACCATGTTAACTTTTAAATATCACGTGATACTATTACGTCAACAATCGAAAGCTAAGGTTTGACATCAAATGTGAAACTTCATATATTTTTCTTCTTGTTCATTCCTTTCCAATTCCCAACACTACATTATCCCTTGTATTACATTTTTTTTTTTCTTTTTCCTGCTGTTTTTCCTCCATTTGAGCATTCTTCTTCATCGGAGGCTGCAGACCTACCCAGTCTCTGTCCGACGTTTATTCCGATGCTTCCTCCAGCAACGTTCAAAGAGTGTTAAATCAAAAGGTAAGAAAAAGTTATGGCTAACTATGCTACAAAAAGATCTGGAGACTAAATCTTAAAATACACTAACCACAAAATTTACGTGGTTCCATAACAGAAGAACGAGCCTATGATTGACATAGTTACAACGTGGTAGTCCTCCATGGGATACGCTGTTAAAGGATGCCCTCAAAAGTATGCCCAACCAATGATAGGAAGAGACAACACTTTCGTGTCTCAGAGCATGCAGCAAGAATTCTTCATTCAGTAACAACAAAGTGGGACTAAATTTGTGCAAAGAGGATTTCATTCCATGTGTCTGGAACACCGGGCAAACACCAATGCAAGCAGTCCTGAACTCCTGGTGTTGCTGTAATACTGAACTGGGATATGTGACCCTCGTCTCTCACCTGAGACAAAGCTGTTATGTCCAGAAGTTTAACCCCTGTCCCCCTCACAGCGCTGGCAGCACTATAATCACTAGACTCTTCTTGTAATACTTCTTTACCTATAGACATAGGAGTAGTATTGTCACAGCTCCCTCCAGTGTTCCAGTCCCCATTTACAAAGTGCCTGGGGGAGATGCTCCGATAAAAGGCTTTGAGAAGAGGATACTTCGGCAGCTGAGAGTCTACCCATTTAACAGTGCTGTGGATTGTGAAGTTCTTGGCACTTCCCATATCTGCTATCTTGCTGTTGTTGTTGGGCACACCCCCAACATACATGACCCACCTATTAGCCATAAGTTTCCCTCGGTTCCAATGGTGCCCCGAGTTCAGAACCACAACATCAATTTTGGGGAGAAACTGATGCAAAAATGCTGGAGGTCGATCAAGATGCATTGCATATTCTGTGTGTGGGTCCTTGACATTAAGAGGTTCCAAATCACAGAGGGTTGAAGACCAATAGTAAATGACAGTAGTATTGGTGCTGGGAAATCGATAAGCCCAACCATTAGGACGTTTACCACCAGGTGGTATGACAAGTCCATACTCCTTGCCTACATCGAGGACATCTGAACTATTCTTACCAGCTGTGATCATGCACATTAGAGACTGAAATTGCTGTCTACCCAATGAATCTCCAACAAAAGCTAGAGTTTTGTCTCGCATCCTGGAATGCATCAGAAGTATATGTAAATAGTCCCACAAGTATTGCTTATATTTAAACAAGTAAATAAAAGCAACCAGCCAACCACTCATATAAACTCTGACCAAAGAGACAACCTCCGGAAAGAGAAGGGAGTGCATCTATAGAGGAGAAAGCAAAATGCTAAATCTATGAAATCCAAGCCTAATAAATTAAGAACAGTCAAATTGTCAGTTCTTCTGGCTAGATTTAAATAGGAAGCACCAATTGAAAAATTATAATCATGTTCCAAACAAAATAAATGAAAAATATTCAAGGACAAAGATATTAATACCTTGCTAAGAACTTTGACCCTTCAAATTCTTCCATATCACAATCTTTTGGTTGCCATCTTGTCTTCTCAAAGGCAAAATCTTGACGCTGCATCAAACGGCAAGCCCACATTGGTGCTAGCCACTGTTTACAACCAAACCCAGAATACAAAGGCCGTCTATCATCTATAACCCATTTTCCTTTTGCATGATTACAGGCTGGAGCAAGGATCAGATAAAATGAAAGTCAGTAATCAGTAATACTATCAGAATATGGAACTAACAGATCCAAAATCTAAAGGTTCAAAGAGAGAGAGAGGGAGCATTAACATCATAACCACAGGTAGCTTGCACATCACCAACTACATCACTAGGAAAATGACTAAATGATGAAGTGCACAATAGAAATTGTTCCAGGGAATGGATGATATTACAACCATGCAATAGCATGCAAAACAAATGTGTGAGGTTTAAAAGAGATACCAAAAACAAGGTGAATAACTCTTTGCTGAGATTTCCAGCATTTGCTTAAAAACCTCGATCAACAATAGATTGTTCAGACAAAGTCGTTTCAATCATGTTGATGAATGCATTTTCTCCCCAAACAGAATGTATTTAACAACAAAATACTAGCAGCAGAAATTCTTCTCTGCAATTTCCATAAGTGAATTCATAGAGGAATACAGATGTGCAAAACATGAATAATATCATGTGTAGGCATATTCTACCTTGATTCTCCACTGTCTTTTCTTCTTTTTCTGAAGTTTTTTCCAGTAAAATTACATTTTTTGTTTCTTCTATCTGTGTTGAACTTGATCCAGTTTTAATAACACCGGTTTTCTCTCTTTTTGGACCGTGTTTGTGTTTTGTTGCTTCTTCTTCTGCACCACCACAACAAATTACAATGGGAATCCGCAAGATACAGCAACTTCAAAGGGTAAAATGAAGAAACTGGCGGCATCAAGATCCCAATAATATTCATTACAAAACAAGTAAAGGAAAAGTGTGCTGGAGAGCACAACACCATTCAGCATAGTGAAAACATTAGAACTCAAGAAAATAGAATAGAAAATCTTGCTCTAACAATCATTGATGACTTCACAATCAGACAGATAAGAAGCAGGAAAAGAACTGATCTCCCATGCCAATCAAACAGCTTCATCGAACCATGTAAATGCTCATTAAAATCATAGAGGTCTACAAAAAATTGTATAGCATTGACATTTGGCCATTGGAAGCCACAGACATCAACAAATATAACCATGATTCAATGAAAGTTTGGTAATACTAACCTAAACCAGAATTTTTTATAACATGTTATTCTAAAACATTAGCCACTGCAATATTCACAAATTTGATCTTTATTCTTGAGACAGACAGAAAAGTAGCTCACCTTTCTTCTGAATAGGAACTGTTTCAGTAGTATCAGTAGAAGATGTCTCATCGAAATGATGTTCCTCTTTGTTATTTATGACTTCACTACGTGTCAATGTAGAAATTTCTTCTTTCACGTGTCTTTTGGGCTCTAATGGTACCGTTTTAATATCTGCACCAGATATTATGAGAGGAAGGAAAACTATCATGAGCATGTAAGTAGCAGTACTTTTATCCAGAATATGCTTTCCAAGTTTCTAAATTCAGATGATTGTCAAATATCTTTATTTTCTAGAAGGTTTAAAAAGCCACGTCCAGAAGGAAAGCAAATATCATCATTAGTTGGTAATTCGTTATTAAAATATGCTGATAAAAGTATTGTCTTCTGGTGCAGTATGTTGTAATCCCTATGCAGAAAGTTACTAGGCTTCATAATGCACTTTTTACAACAAAAAATAACTGACTTGTTCAACATTAAAATTATACAAATGTGGCATTAACCGGAATATTAACAGAATGCTGAAGATAAACATAGCATGAGAAACAAAAAAGAGCGACAAATAAATTCATATTGGGCTTATTTGGACTAGCCTGTAGAGCAAAGGAGGGTTCAAATAAGAGTAGTAAAAAATGCTTTGGTTACCCCAATAAACAGAGTAAAAAACAAATAAATGGCACAGTGAAGAAATAAGATAGGTTCAAAGAAACCTGGAGAGAGATGCAACAACTTATTTTTGGATGGTAGTGAGGAAGTAAGTACTGGACTTCTGTCCCATGTCCAAAGAAGAACAGTTGCACCCACAAGAACAATGAGAATGAGAGACAGTTCTTTAGCCCTGCGCCTTAATTTGTAGGGGCCTCCTTTCATCCTACAAAGACATGAAAAGAAAGACTCATCAACAGGTCACTAAAGGCAGAAAGCAATTTGCACAAGGAGAGAGAGCAGAGAAAGGCTGAAACCTCAAGGAAAAAGGAAAAAAGAAACAAAATTTCAGGTCCATTTGCAGCTTTCTCTTTGTGTAAGTGTACGACAAAGGTACAAAGAATTAAGGTTGAATGAAGAAAATGCACTTCCTGCTTCCAAAACAACTAGCAACTATCTAATTGCTAGAAAAAGTTATTTTAGAAACTCTTCGCTTACTCTATGCTGATTTACCTAAAAAAAAGTTAATATATCAGAGATTCTATTGCTGCAAAACTTACGAAGCCGCTTATTACAAGCGTTACACCATGGAGTGAATCATAAAATTCACAAAAGGATAAGCTGAATTAAGTTATAAACATAAATGTTTGACTTCAAAGCACTGGAAACATTCTAAACCCATTGTTGGGGGATAGCAACACTCCCTTATCTAAACCATTCAATCACAAACATTCGAAAACTATACGATCAAACTTACACAAAACAGAGATTTCGACTCCATTTGCGTGGAAATGCCACATAGCTAAGCTAGGCAAGCTTGATTCCATGGCGTGCTTAGAAGCCAACAGATCCTATTCTAAATCACAACCAACATTACTAAACACGAGCAGCACACTCCAACAATCCCCAGGATTTTTTGTTTAAGCTATAATCAACAATTAAATTATTACCGAATTATCTACCTAATTCCTTATTTTTCTAATCATAATTTTAAAATTTAGAGACAATTTATCTCGAGAACTCAAAGCGAAATTGACAATCTCCATGCCATTATATCAAATCAATGACAGTGAAAGAAAATTAAAGACAAAAAAAAAAAAACAACAATGTCCTTGGAGTTACAATCAGCTAAATAATAGTACGAGAAAACGAAATTAAACATGAACAAATTTGCAATCTACGATTATGTCCGCTCGATTCTGATCCAACGCAAAATCCAACGGCTATTATCTATTGAAAAAATTATGGAAAATTGAATTAAAAAACTTCGATTAAGGTAACAACTGAGGAGAGAAGTACCTGAGGCGCATCAATATCTGAACAGACCAACAATCACGAAATAAAAAACTCTGCGCAACGAATTTTTAAAATTTTCTTTTTATTAAATTTTAATGTGACGAATGAGGAGGAAGATGAAGAAGAAGGAAATAGAAAAAAAAAAGGTAGTGGGAGTAAAAAACAAATGTAAATAAATAAAATGAAGGGAGAATAAAATTCGATGGGGGGGTCAAGGCCCAAGGGACTTGCCGTCTAAATTGCATTGACCAGTGTAAATACATAGAGACCGTACGGAGAAGACTGCTTTGCTAATATCGTGGAGATTTAGATTTATTTTTTCCGCTAATTTGGGGAAAAGAAAAATGTCAGTAATGGAAAGGTAATAAGCTGATAATAAATAAATAAATAAAATAAGTACTAAATCATTTTTGTTAATGATGATCCTAATTATTGGATAATAAAAAATCGATCATGATGAAATTATAATTAATTATAAATTTAAGTGTAATTAATTAATATATAAATATTATTTTTATTTTTATAAAATTATCATTTCTTGATGATAAAAAAATTGAAAATTTAAATCTTAGATGTTTTTATATAAAAAAAATTGTAATTTAAGAATAAAAAAATGATTGAAGAAATTATAATTTAAAATTTAAATCTTTTAGATTCTATATTTTAAAATTGAAGACATAAATCATCTGAATTAATCTTTAAAAATTTAAATTTAAGATTTTATTAAATTTTATTTTTTAAAAATAATTACATCTTTTTAAGATTTTAATATTTAAATTTAAATAATGTAAAATAACATAACTTAAGTATCATATGTAACATCAAAAAAGAGTTATTTGTAAGTAAATACAAATACAAGTAACTTTATACTTTACAATATATATATCTTCGATCTTAAAGCTATTTATCATAAAATTTTTGGTAAAAATTTTTTTTATGGAATATATAGGTGAGCTAAAAGGGTAATTTAAACTTGGTATTCTTTTAAAACATAAATATGGTATACATGGTTATCAATTTTTAAATGTATGATGGAAAATTAAAAGATAATAACTCACTTAAAAATATAGTAAGCTAATCCATCCTTAATAAATCTCAGGATGTTGAGAAAAAATCAAATGTGTAAACTAAATTATTTTTTACTTGAAATTCTCATAATTTGAATTTTAATTTATAAAAATTTAATATTTTATTAATAAATCTTCTATTGATGACAAATGGATAGATTAATGTTAAGAAAATAAAAATTTTTTTAAAAATTGTATGTAAACGGTTGATGTTGAGATGCTATTATGTTTATATTTTTATTATCTTGATTTTTTTTTTTTAAATAGAAGGATTTGGAGTGAGATTGTTGACATTATTATTATTATTTTAGCTTACATTTTTTTTTATCTATTTTTAATTAAAAAGGGCACGCACTTTAAAAAATCGCAAAACCAGGACTTCTGGGCAAATAATATGTAACGAAGGAACCAATAAGCAATCATATTAGTCGCGTGGCGCAGCCGCAAGGTAGAAAAGCAGTAAAACACAGCAGCAGCAGAAAGCTCAAAAGGCTCCGAATTCCTTATATTTCGCTTTCTCAGAAATCCAATCGATGGCGCTTGATTCTATGTCGAGTGACGGGCTCGTAGTTGATAACACTCTCCAGGCTATCTGCTACAAACGTGGCTCCCTTAAGCTGCTTGACCAGGTATAGTTTTTCATTCATTTTTGTATAAAGCTGAAGATCTTTGAAGTTTGATTGTTCCGATACCTTATTATCTGGACCTTTTTAATTGTTGATTTTTTTTTTTTGTTTACTTGACTGTGATTGGTTGTTGAACAGAGAAAACTTCCTCTGGAAACCGGGTTCTTAGATATTCAAGATTCAACAGACGGATGGTGATGAGTAGTACTTCCTGTGAAATGTGTTTTCCTCTCTCAATTGCATTGAAGTTGAGCAAGTCAACTTGAATTTCTTATTTTATGGTTTCAGGAACGCAATCCGGGATATGGTGGTTCGAGGGGCGCCCGCTATTGCCATAGCTGCAGCCCTTTCCCTGGCGGTAGAAGTTGCCAACTTAAAGGACTTTAATGGGACATCTGGGGATGCTGCTTCTTTCCTTGAAATGAAATTGGAATATCTTGTCTCAAGGTTTTCACTTTTCCAACTTTTTCCCCTAATATTGCTGGTCATGGCAGCTGCTATTATATTGTATTTTAAGTAACCTCTTGTATGTAACACTGTGTTTCTCCAGGTCTTTCTGAGACTGAAATTAGTTGTTTCCTTGCATTTTCGAAGTGTAGCTGATTCAATATTGTCTTTATGTTCTTTTCAGCCGACCAACAGCAGTGAATCTTTCAGATGCCGCTACAAAACTTAAAGAAATTATATCAAAGGCTGCTTCTACTGCTACAGAGCCTGGGAGTGTTTTCCGGGTGGGTATTCATGGTATTGGTTATGCTTCAGCAATCAAGCTATTTGTCATTGACTTGTATACATTTAGAGTTTGCTGACACACATGATATATGAGGCTCATAACAGCCTTGTTTTGATTTCTTTTATTTTGTCTTAGCTCATCTTTTCGGGATATTTAAGCATGTCTTGTTTGTCCTCGCTATATATTTATCTTTTCTCAATCTTTACAGGCTTATATAGAAGCTTCTGAAATTATGCTTGATGATGATGTTGCTTCAAACAAAGCAATTGGGTCTCATGGAGCAAGTTTTCTGCAGCAGCAACAGAAACAGAAAATTTCAAAGAGATTTTCTGTTTTGACCCACTGCAACACTGGAAGGTTTTGTTAGTCTTCTCCCTGCTGTTCCTTTTGTTGTAGTAATGGTAATGTTGGCAAGAGGGCATTAGAGTTCATACGGGGACTAAACTGGCATATGATAGTGTTCAAATAGTGATTTACTCTGTCGTGCAGTCTTGCCACAGCTGGATATGGTACTGCCCTTGGTGTAATCCGTGCCCTTCATGCTGAAGGAGTGTTGGAAAGGGCATATTGTACAGAAACACGACCCTTCAATCAGGTACCTTTTGTTGAAGTTGTTTGCATATTTATAATAAAATTGCCTCAGGCATTGTCTCACTAACCAGCATAAGAAAATGTTTGGTGTTGCAATTACGCGAACTAGTATGAAAAATGACTTGAGTGTTAAGTACTTTTACATGCTTAATTACCTTTCCTTTTTTTCTTGTGATATATGAATTTGTGATTAGGATCATGCCTTTGTTAAACGTGAATAGGCCATTGAGTTTGGTGATAGTAATTGTCAGTCTAGTTACTTCTAGCTGTTATTCATAATCTATGTTTTCTCACGTATGTTTGACTCTGACTGCAGGGATCCAGACTCACGGCTTTCGAGCTGGTGCATGATAAAATACCTGCTACTCTAATAGCAGATTCTGCTGCGGCTGCTTTAATGAAAGAAGGTCGTGTCAGTGCTGTTATTGTTGGAGCAGATCGAGTGGCAGCAAATGGTAATCCACGGCTGTTAATGATGCATTTCCCTCTAAATTCTCTGATGAAGTAAATATAACTGATGCCTTTCAGTGATTGCAGGTGATACTGCTAACAAGATTGGAACCTATAGCCTTGCCTTATGTGCAATGTATCATCATATTCCTTTTTATGTTGCTGCACCGCTTACTTCCGTTGATTTATCTCTTTCTTCTGGACAAGAAATTATTATCGAGGAAAGATCTGCAAAGGAGTTATTGCACTCACGGGGAGGACTGGGAGAGCAAGTAGCTGCATCTGGGATCTCTGTCTGGAACCCAGCTTTTGATGTTACCCCTGCCAATCTAATAGCCGGTATCATAACAGAAAAGGTCTCTCTCTCTCTCTCTCTCTCTCTCTCTCTCTCTTTGTGTTTGTGTGCATGTAGACATAAACATTACATCCAGGCATATGTTAGTAGTTCAGTGAAACAAATTATTCATTATTAGAGCAGATAGTAATACCTATTTCATCTTGCATGTGATTTTGATTTTTCCAATGGATTATTCAGTTGAATTACACTCTGATGATTAATTGTTATTTAAGCAGGGTGTCATTACAAAGAATGACATTAAGGATGCTTTTGACATCAAGGATTTCATAGAGAAGGCAGCGGGGAAATCTACTTTCTGAATTTGGCATCTCTAGCTGTAAGACATTACAAACTCAAAGTCGAGGTTATTGATATGTAAGCTGGAATATGAGCTGATCGTGCCTTGTGTTGTAAGACTTGTCGGAATTTTTTGTTCATTGATGCCAAATTGTTGTACTACTGGCTTTTCCGAGGTTGTAAATGCACAATAACATCAATAAATAAATTACTAATGTGCAGGTGGTTAGGCTCTCTTTGGTGTCAAACTCAACGCATGAGCCGGATTTCTTGCATTTTGGTTAATGATTATTAATGAAATCAACCTCTTTCGGTTTTAAGATACAGTAAAATAGTGCTTTCAGGTTAATCTTGTTGTACATAATGAACAATGTTCTTACATGCATAATGTCACTATCCGCGCGTTCTTTATTCTGAAATTTCCTTGGACAGCTCAATTTCAATATTTCAAGTCGCAAAGACAGGAGCCTTTTCTTTGGTTTTGATCTCATAAGATTACCTATTCCGAACTCTATAAGGAAGAATTCAACTCTCATAACTCATTAACCCACGATTTTCAAAGTGACTCCGAACACTCACCTCTGTCCACAGGGCTTAAGATCTCGAGCATCGACTCTCGAATACTCATGGGATACACAATCCCGATTCTCATTATATTATTACTTCTTGATATAGTGAAAACCTAACACCATGCCCGCTCGTATTGTACGCAAGCTCTCGTATCAAGTTTATGCAAGCGCAACACTTATGTTGGTCAATAGCCAGCTCGGAGGCTTTAAGCTCATCTCATTCCAAGGGACTCAGTTCTTAGGGCTTAGGCCCTTAATTTCAATGTAGACTGTCCGCACGTATGATTGACACCCAACATCATGCTAGTTTATCAAGTTTATGCAAGCGCAACACTTATGTTGGTCAGTAGTTAGCTCGGAGGCTCTAAGCTCATCTCATTCCAAGGGACTCAGTTCTTAGGGCTTAGGCCCTTAATTTTAATGTAGACTGTCCGCACGCATGATTGACACCCAACATCATGCTAGTTTCACAAGGGGGATTTGGGTGGGCTGCTCTAGCTGCAGCACACCTCTACCGATTGGTCACAAGAGCCCGTCAGCCCCAATTGTCCTTGGGTTTACCATGATCCGAGGAAACATCATGCCACGCTCTTCAGACTAGCCAGGCCCTTGCCTGCCTACTAACTAAGGGGGTGATGGAGAGCTGACACCAGTCATCCCTCTATAAAGAGCATAAGAGATTTTTTTAGTCTCCTACCAGTAACCGTAAGATTATTTGAAATGGGAACACTTTTCTCTCCAGCTATCTCAGACTATCCACGCATAATATCCCCAACATATTCCCATGCTCATAATGCCCGCACACTGCTTTCACTAATGGCTTTCGTCATACTACTTGGCTCAAGGGTGCTTAACTATTATCCCAAATTTACTTGCGTATCTTACGGTCCAAGGCTTTCACTGCCCGCACAACATATTAGTAACATATGCCAATGCTCCAAATGCACGCCTCCATCTCTTAGAATCATTTTCTCATCAGTTTGATCTCGATCGTTGCTCAGCTCAGGGTCAATTATGGTAGGACCAAAACACACCAAACCCTGATCATGACGCGTAACCTGTGCATGCTCTGATATTACTTTTCCATCTCAATCATGTTTAAGGGTATAGTATATGTCTAGGGTTTATACTAACCACATGCAAAGCCTTTTCAGTTGCTTGAATTAGTTAAAACCAAGAGCTCATTAAGCAGGAAGAGGGTGCTGGGAAGTAATTGAGTGGGGTGTTGAGGAATTTGAATTTCAGATATGTTAGATGTAAATTTTAAAAATAAATATATAAATTAATTAAGTTAAATTTTAAATTCGATCATTAAAAATTTCGGAATGATGTTATCCCTAAATTCTAAACAAGGAGCTCATGATAGCAAGTGCTATTAACTAATAAACTGTTGTAAGAATGAGGGAAAGATCAAAGAATGAAAATTTGTAGGAATGAAGATGCTAAACATAGTGTTAAGCATAATAGACTTATCATTAGGGTGCTTTTCGTGGGAACGAAGGAAAGATGAAAGAAAGAAAATTTGTCTCATCCAACAATTTTATTATTATTTTTTTGGAGGCTGCCCATCCAACAATTATTAACTTACTATGAGGTAAGTAGGAAATAAAATTGTACATTCTACATCATTAAATGATAAATTTCTCCATGTTTGGATTTCATGACAACTTGAGCTTCAAGATTTGATTTGAAACGGGAATTAAACTACGAGGGCTTATACGTAATTTTCCTAAGAACTAGCAATTGTTGTCAAACATATTTATTTTTTAAAAATTATATCTTCAACATAAAATTACATATTATAAAAATAAATAAAATTAGTAAAGAACATATTAATTGAAATTTGCATTAACATGTGAAACAATTAAAATTAATAAAATGCATATTAATCGAAACTTTCATAAACATACATGTAAAATTTGTCTCATATAAAATATATTAGCTTAACATAAATTTTTTCTTTTATAAGGTTAATGAAAAATTAGAATTTTGAAAGTAAATTTTAATTTTTTATTTATTATCAAATAAACCTATTTTTTTAAATTAATAAAAAATCTAAAATCTAAAATAAAGTAATTTAATGAAAATTTTAATTCTTTTTATTTATTGTCAAATAAATTCATTTAATGAAAGTTTTCTTATTAAATTAAAATTCTTATTTATAAATTGAATAAATATTGTTAATAATAAAAATTTAAAAATATTAATTTAAAAATATAATAAATAATAATAATATTTTCATCAATCCAAAAATTTATTGGTACTTTTTTATATGTAGTATACATATATAAATAAATGAAAAACTACAAACCCCTATATTTCAAAGCGCCTTGCCGTTTTGCTTAACCCACAAAAAACGACGCGTCGTGGGGGAGAAAAAACAAAGAGGAAAAAATAGAATTATAAGAAGGGCATTTTGGACAAGTAGCCCAGTTTCTTCTTCCGCGAGTTAACTCGAAAGAGTCATAAAGCGCTTAGCAGTCGGGTCTCTTGAAGAAAAAGCTTTCGCTTTTATCAAATCTCTGCATTCGAAACATCCAAGAAAAAGAAAAAAAGCAATTCCAAAATACCAGAGAGAAAATGAGCCGAGGAAGTGGAGGCGGCTACGATCGTCATATCACCATCTTCTCTCCCGAAGGCCGTCTCTTCCAAGTCGGTATGTATATTCACTCTCCCACCACTACTTTTTTTTTTTTTCGGGTTCCTATGAAGAACTTACTATTATTTTTTTTAATTTTGATTTTCGAATAAATTGGGGCAGAGTATGCGTTTAAGGCAGTGAAAGCAGCTGGGATCACATCGATTGGTGTTCGAGGAAAAGACTCTGTCTGCGTTGTCACTCAGAAGAAAGTTCCCGTCCGTACTCTCTTTTCTTTTCCTTTATTAATCTGGACTTTTTTTTTTTTTTGGAGTAAGTGATTTGAGGGTTTTTCTCAATTTTGGTATTTACATTTTTAATAATGCGATGCAGGACAAGCTTTTGGATCAGACTAGTGTCACTCATTTGTTCCCTATTACCAAGTTCCTTGGATTGTTGGCTACTGGCATGACAGGTTTATTATTGTTAAATACCATTTTTTAATTATTTTTCTTTGATATTATTTGTTCGAATTGGGAAGATTTTGTTATGTTGACTAGTGAACTAGGGTTTGGGGGATATTAAGGATTCTGGGTTATAATGATGCGCCTCATTTGACACTTATAATCAGTCAAAATCAGGGTTCAAAAACTTCCTAATTTGCATCCTAAGGAATGCAAGCGGTTGAAATATCAGATAAGAACAAATGGTTTTCATAATAATGTAGCTCTTACTTACCCTGGGATTCAGCATAATAACCACAATTCTTCCTTACTAATCATGATGCTTATTTCAAATGCCACGAAGAGGGCAACCAAGTGCAACAAGAAATACAAAGAAAGCCCCAAAAGAGAACTGAAAAGATGAAAAGGAGCTTTATGGCAGGCCTCTTTAAATAGCTTGCCTATCTTTATCATAGAGCTCGAATTTGGTTTTGTTCACTTCATTAGGTTACAGCTTGAGGTTGGATTTAGTTTACTATTATGGCAATATTTTGTGAGGGATTCTTTGATAATTGACATCTCACTCTTTAGCTGATGCAAGGACCTTGGTCCAACAAGCAAGGAATGAAGCAGCTGATTTTCGGTTCAAATATGGATATGAGATGCCTGTGGATGTATTGTCCAAATGGTATGGTTTCTTATATCTTATCCGGTGGAACCTAACGATGTTTAGTTGTGTTACAATTGGTGGCTGCCGTATCTGTAGTGCCCATCTAAATAATGTTTGAACAAGTTTAGTGACTTCAAGGGACTGGTTATTTGGATCTAAGTCAGCTGTAGGTTTATGCCCTTGCATGTTTGCTAGTAGGAATTGGAAAAATTTTATGTCCTTGATTCTTTATTGCTCTTCTTAACATCAACATTGGAGACAATGTATTCTTCATTTGCTAGTTCATGGATATAACGTTGGTTCAAAAAATAATACATCCACATGACCACATTTCATATTACTATTATTTTGAATTCTTCATGGATTTTTCTTTGATTGGGAATCTTGTGCATTTTGATGGTCATACTACTAATTTATCATAACATGCTTTATTGATATAGGATTGCAGACAAGTCACAGGTTTATACTCAACATGCTTATATGAGACCTCTTGGAGTTGGTAAGTCTATGATTCCTTATAAATCTTCCAACTTTAATTTTTTTAATTATTTGTATTTGTCATAGTGGATTGCCAATTTTTAAAGCTTGTCAATGCATGCAAGCATCGATATATGTTAACATATGTTCCAAGTAACTTCCTTTAACATTATCATATTCTCACCTTAATATCTTTCATATCCTTTTCTGTGAAGTTGCTATGGTTTTGGGTATTGATGAAGAGAAGGGACCCCAACTCTACAAGTGTGATCCAGCAGGCCATTTTTATGGCCACAAGGTAGTTTGCAAGTTAATTTTATTGCTTATTGAGTATGAGTTCTTGATTTTGGTTCTAAAGACCTGGTTCCATAAACCATATATTGTTATCATTATGGTTATGATTTATTACTGCTTTTCTCTAATAGTTCTCTTTGACCATATTATTTACAAAAGCTTTATTTACATTGTGAGTGAAGTAATATAATTGCTAGTGATTTTTTCCCTTTTTATAATTTGCTTATGATAATGAAAACCCACAATAATTACCATAAATTTCAGAGGGT